TCAGTTGAAGCCTGTTGTTCCCCATCCAGACCCTCACAGCCTCCAGGCACCGGGATAAGACATTCACGGCATCGCTTAATTCTCCAGAGACGGAGATGTATAATTGGGTATCATCAGCATACTGATGATACCTCACCCCATGGCGATGGATGAGCTCACCCAGCGGCCTCATGCAGATTTAAATAGGAGCGGGGAGAGTACCGAACCCTGCGGCACCCCACATCACACTGCTAAGGTATTACCCTGCTAAGCTAGCTAAGCTTTCTCTAAAACCATCCTCAGATGATGATAACAAGCCATGTGTTCCTACATATCTTCTCAGGAAACAGCCAGCTCAATTTCCCCCCTTTTGGCTTTTTTCTCTGTTTACACTGTTTCTTTTTCAGAAGCAGCACTACATTACTGAGTTCTCCTGAACAAACAAAAATGGCCTTCTGCGGAATTAGCCCATCTCACCCCGGCGTCAGTGGCTTTTCAGCTGATGGGCTGTGATTTTGCGAGTAAAATGATTAAGCAAGATGGGTCAACTGCGTGTTAATCAGAGCTTCTCTCTTCATGCCTCACAGTCATACTGCATGGCTGCGATCTCAGGGCTGGGCTCTCCCAAGTCAGATTTAAAAGCTATCACAGACTTGTCACAAAAACCTAACCCAATGATGAGCTCCACGTGGGAGCTACGGGTCCTTTTTGTCTATACAATCAAAGTGTACTCTTGCTGGAATTACTGTTTGCTGAAGAGGTATTATCCTTGCTCGTATCTACCTAAGCCCCTCCCTCCCTTGGTGGACCAGGACCGCTGGCTGATGGGTTCTTGTAGAGGGAAGAGGGAATGGCCTTGAAGGGGAGAGGAAGAGCTGCTAACAAAGCAATGGTCAGACACGCGAGGCTTGAGCCCAGGCCAAGAAAATCACTTGAGAAAACATCCCAGACAGGCCCCTCCCTTGTTCACACGAAGATAAACTGAGGGGCAGGGGAAGCACATTCAGACTTGCAAGGTTCTGTACTACAGCTGTTGCAAAAAAAAAGGAGTCCTGACCTATACGGCATTGGTTTCTTAGTCTGATCCACCTGGCTGAGCTGGCAGTTCTGGAGAGTGGAAGGACCCCCCATGCAGAAAGGAGGGCACGTGCTGGGGAGGATAGCAAGAGAAACTCTGGCTGGGTGATCAGCCGGCTCCCATCTCAATTCAAAGAAGGTGCTATTGTGAGGAAACCCAAAAACAGAGCCGCTCCTTGAGGATGCAGCACTCAGATTATTATTTCAGCTACCGAAAGAGTGGCGCTCCCTTCCCACACGTTCTGGAGTTAACCTGTGAATGAGGCTGATGAGCAAAATGTACACATAGGAGTCCGGCTGAAGAACTTGCTTCTTTTTTAGGAACAGAACATTGTTCAGACTCCTTAGGGGTACAGAAGTGGAAATTACCAATTTAAGTGTTGTAACATAGTACAAGTTTAAAACACATAAAGCATGAAATGATACATACAAGAAAGCACGTAAGTTTGAGGACAGAAATACAGGGGAAGCATGAATGATTCACTGACTCACCACACCCCTTCTGTTCCAACAAGGATAAAAATAAAGCATTGTTTTTAAGATTCTTAAACGTTCTTTTAAATCATGGACATTCGGGATTTGGCAGTAAGTAATCATAATTTCAAGATGAGGAACAGAATTTCTGCCAGACATTTCCAGAACAATATTCTTAGCCATACTGCCTGCAAACATTTTTACATCTGTCAAAGCTCCATAAAGAAACAGACCTTAAGCTGTTTTATGTAATGCAATACAAGTCAGTACATGGGAAGCAAAAAATTTGTTAATCTCCATGATGCAATTAGTGGTTGGCATAATTTAGCTGACTGGCAAAGGAGGAGAAGGAAAAGGTAAATAAGGACTAAACACTTTCTTACTTATTTTAGTTCTTCATCTGTCTCAAATAATTTTAAATCTGACATTTCTGTCATGTTCGTGCAAAGCCAGCTGATGCACAAACCTGTGTTTTATGCATTGTTCCCTGTCACAATTTTTACGTTTGCATTTTAATAACTCTGTACCCAGTCAGTAGGATTGTTATTATTGTAGGCTTTGTGAATAAGAACTATATTCTGGATTTTTTAAGGCCTCCTTCACTGTGAAAAATAAAGTTTTTGGAAAAGGATTTCAAGAAAATAACAACTAAATAATTGTGGTTTGGTAGAAATGCAATGAAAAATGTCATTTTATTTACCTTGCCAGTTTTGAGATTTGAGTAAAGAATTCTCCACCTCTACTTTCAATAATTAATGAAAAATAATGTGATGGGAAACTAGGGGGCTGTGCTGGATTTGGAAGAATCTCAATCTAGACTGGGCTGATTTGAAGAGTCTCAAAATTCATCAGGATCAAAGCAGACTCAAAGTCCTCTCAATTACTCAGAAGTGAAAACCTTTTGGTGCTCCAAAACTGGATATCCCTCTGTCTGGAAGTTCTCCATATAAAAGGAAGTTAATATAAAAGTTCTCTCTTTCTGTTTGCTTTAGTCACATGCTTTTGGGCAGGGATGTACGTGAAACTTATTAAGGGTCATTCTGGATTTTCACTGCATTTTGTGACAATATATCTGCGGCAAGGAGAGGTGGTGGCAGCGGCAAAGAATTTAGGGCTAGAAATCAAACGGAGAGATGTCACCCAACGCAGTTTGTTTTACAGGGGCGGCTCCAGCCACCAGTGCTCCAGGCTTGCACATGGAATGCCAAAGAAGCAAGCTCCCCCAGCATGATATCCACAACCTGAGAGCTCAGGGGGGGTGTGTGTAACAGCTGCCTTTTTGCCTTCTGGGTAAGTTAAAGCAAGACTTCTCGCTTATAGCGGACAGTTAAACTGACCAAATTTGAAATGTTCTGTTCACATTGATATTGTGCAGCATGTCTACACTTTCAGACAGGTTCTCCATCAGTCACCTCCATCCACTCCACCAAGACTATAAAGCTCAAAATGCGAATGACCCCGGAGCTGCCAATGGAGCATACAACAATGTGAACAAACTCCGGACACCCCTTTTTATTTCTCGTCCCCAGCAGCTCTCTCTCGCTCTCTCTCGTTTTCTTGCGGGAGTAGCATCTCTCTGCAACCGCTTCAAGAACTGAGTCCTTTCCTTGGGAACTATTTCTTTATGACCACAATCAATATGAAGACACCCATACTGAAACAAGCTAAATTATCCATGGTAAGTTTAACAATTCCATAAAATCAATCACAAAATCAATCTCCATAAAAATCACAACAACAGTTCAAGTCCACCTGCAGGAGCCTTGGAAGGCAGCCGTGTGTCCCTGGGAAAAAGTATTGCAGAGCCGTTATGCTTATGCTCCTACACACACTGAAGCACGTGCTGGACACAGAACTTGGAGCACTGCACAACCCTATGGCACGTTAAGTCTGACGAGAGTGGGCTTTAGTTGCTAACCTATATTATAAATCCCACCCAATAAGGAGAGGGTCAATAGCCAGAGAGTTACAGTGGTACCTCGGGTCACGAACTTAATTCGTTCCGCGACTCTGGTCGCGACCCGAATTGGTCGCGACCCAAATCAAATTTTCCCATAAGGTT